TTTTTCCGGCAAATAAAAATTTATGAAGGGGTCCACCCTTGCGGCCCGGTCCCCCCCCCCCCCCCCCCCTCATGGCCATCCCAAACCCCGAGATTGGTTGGCAGTCCTGTCTCATTTGCCTGGATAGCCCCTTCATGCGCAATCGCTGTTGTTGTGTCGCCTAGACTCCCACCGCTTTTGTCCAGCTCTCCAACCGTTCTATTTGTGATTTCCCCACGCAGCCATTCTACAACGCGTATTCCGGATCACGAGGATGCTGAAACAGGATGACGAATGCTCATTCCTATCGCGGGCCAGGCCGGGCTCTCGCGGCCGATCGTCTTAGTTTACACCGCTTGCTTCAGGGACTCACAGACCATTCCGCGGGGCTCGCCATGAACAAAAAAAGAGCCATCGTGATGCTCCAACAGTACACTTCTACAAGACCTCGACCAATATTACATGCTATACATTTGCTTCACTACATTGAACTCGGTCTACAGGGGGGGGACTCCCATTAGTGCCACATTTACCAATGCCACCCTCCCATTAATGGCGGCCAGACGCACGAACACAAAAATTGCCACGTGTAACACGGGTCTGGGTGTTATGCTGCCGTCCATCCATCGCGCGTGAACACATGTGAAAGCGGCTTATAACCGTATGCTCGATTTTGTTGACGATTTTTTCGAGCCCCATTCGGGTTTTTTTAAAACGAGTTCGTTATCTATAGTGCCATTCGACGAAACAGGTGTCATTCGAACCGGGGGAACACCACAGTCATGTTGATATGCGTCTCGTAGCCAGAGCTTAACATCTCGCGACACAGGAGACAAAAGGAATATTAATTTGGACCGATCTTTGGACTGGGGTCTGAAACTCACGAAAAGTGTATTTCAGCATCAACAGAGAGTTTACGCAGCAAAAAATGACAACGTTTGGGAGTCAAATGTGATGAAACGTATGCCACGCGACATACGTTTCTCACAAGCGCCTGCTCATGCCATTTCATTTTTCAGATGGAGACCAATTTAACGAAGTAGAAATGACTGTGGACAAGTGCTTCCTCCTAAGCTGAGAGCCTGCGCTCATCCAACGTCGCCAAACCCCCAATCGCCATGACCCCTCCCTCGGACAAAGTCAATCCCGGCGGAAAACAGCCCCATGCAAGCTCGGACCATGAGCCAGCTCTACAACATTGTAATCCAACTGCCCCAGCCTCTTCAACTGCTGTTACATCAGATCGTCATCAAAACTACGACTTTGCCTTATCTACTGCCGAAAAAACGGCAAAAGAGTCTAACATGGTGCCTGTACCTTCCCGATCTCCTCGGGTGACTAGTGAGGAAGAGAGGTCTCTTTCTCCCAGCCTCTCATGGGATCAAATCCAAGACAATCCTCGCACTGTCATCGCTACGCCACTTTTGGCGGTGAAGGGCAAAAAGAGGAGACGAATGCGATTTTCAACTGCATGGGATGTACTGCTTCTCAAATCGGTGACGGCCGTCGACGCACACGTGGCTCCACACTGCCAATCCCAAAAGCGCTTCGAGGAAGCAGTTTCGATATTTGTCTCTTCACTTCCCTCACCCACCCTGGAAGAATTTGGCAACCCATCATGGAAGACGCTAAGCGACAGGTTCAAAAAATAGTAGTTGATCATCGCACTGCAGTCAAGAAAAACGTAGTTGCTTCTGGTATTATTGAAGTTCGAGGAGAGCGAGAGATCCTACTGGATGATATTGTACTAGCCATAGACGAATGGGAAGAGAGTCGTCGCACGGAGAGGGATGAGCGCACTGAGCTCGACAAAAGACTTCAGGTAGCGGGAGAGGCCATTCGGGCCCGAGCTCTAAATCGGGAACGTAGCACCGCCGCACCGAGAGAAGGCAAGGACAAACCAAAAAGTACAGAACGAAAACGGGCCATGATTTATGATTCAGATGACAAAGCTCGTTGCACCCTTTCCGAGTACATGTTTGAGCAGCGTGATGTCGATCATAAGCGTTTAAAAATGGAAGAACGCAAACTCGAATACGAAATATCAAAAGACGAGCGTGCGGGAGAGCGCTTGAAGGTTGCGCAAGACCACGAGGCTCGCCGAATCGCCGTGGAAGAGAAGCGAATCGAACTGGAGCAGCGCCGCCTGGAAATAGAGCGAGAGGAACGAAGGGGCGCAATACAGGAAAGAACTCAAATGATGGCTGTGCTTAGTGCATTGGCAAAAAAACTGGAGTAGAAGTAGTTTATTCTTGCCTTGACAGATAGATGTCTAATATTGGAGGTTTACACAAAAAGTACGAGCTTACCTGCCCACTACACTGGTGCATACAAACCCGCACATTCCAAAGTAAAGCTGCAGTTTTGTAAAGCAATGCCACTGGTGACTCTCGCACTTTAAGCATACGTTTAAAATCCTGTGACGCCCACATTTGCTTTACATCCTTGTACGTCCATTCGACAGCTTCACGAACAGAACTCATCCCTTGGTTGTAGAGCAGTTGGTCGGCCGTTGCGTCTTGTGTTCGAAAAGCAACCTGAAGCCACGGCCTCAGCACGTATGCTGCATCTCCATAAAGACAGTACTGCCTATCTTGCAGCAAGAGATTTTCTTCGAGCTGCTCATTTAAGCCGCTTTGACGAAAAAGGGTCATGTCATGACGACGCCCAACCTCAGGCCCAAACATATGAAACATGAGTCCATCGGGCGTCGTTATTGTCTGATACACCAAGCAGTGAAATCTTTTATGTCCTGAATAGCAGGAGCGCTGGAAAGCACTTTCTCCACCCGGTCTGCTCATTTGAATTTTCGTGCAGTCAATAAACCCCACGCAGTTATCCAGTGGTGCTCCTCTTCTCTCAACAGCTTCAGCGTAAATATGTGCTCTTTGCGACATAAGATCAGTTCTGAAAGTCTCTACGAGATGGCCACGTTCTTCAATAAATTCCACAACTACTTCCCAAAATACTTCACACAGCGCAGAAGACCGCATTCCAAAAGTTGTCTCTCCATCGGGTCGGAAATGACATTCGCTTGAGCAAAATACAAGTGGCGGTTATGCTATCGCATCGGTAGCGATTGCGGGTTGGAATCCCGCTCCAAGATATGATATCTCGTACCCTGCCTATCTCGTACCCTGCCTATCTCGCTCGTACGGAAACGAAACTCAGAAAGCGCATGCTCGTCGCTGTAGATGTTTAAATTGAAGCTTGTCGTTGAGATCTGTCTCGATCGTAGGCCGATAATATTGATATCGTGTTGTGCCCGTCGAACAGAATGTTGCAGCTTGAGGACGAGAGCAGTTGGAGCACGGCTTTGAAGCCCAAGGAGAAGACGCGTACGCCGGGCTCGGAGGCGACGTCTGGAATGGCCGATGGCATAGTCTTTCAGACGCATCCCCGAAGAGGATGTGGTTGATAGGAGGGGAGCAGCAAAGGGGTTACGATTATGCTCATGCTTCACTCATTTGTGAATTGCGTAAACCGAGTTCGGCGATAAGATGAACGAATTTCTGTAATTTTTTGTGACCCATTTTTGATCGGATAGCCATGTCATTTCTCTTTGCGTAAACTCTCTAACAACGTCGAGTTTGCTTTGTGAAGTATTGCCCATATTAAAAACGTCTACATGCGCAGGCACAATGAGCAAACTTACGATATTGACGATAATTTTCACATGAGCCTTTGAGCTAATGGCTTCGTCCATCAACAACCGGATGTGCAACTGGATGGCAAAAGTCACCAAAGGCTCGTACTCGACACACAAATGAACGATCCTCATCACAAAGCTCACGAAAAGTACAGAATTTGATCTTAACATCTCTCATTTTCTGCTGTTTTGATGCCATTTACGCACTATCATGCTACTCACTGTCCTCAGCTCCACTGCGATCTGGCTGCTTTTCTACTTCACCTACATTTTTTTGCACCGCACGCCTTCGTCTTTTAGTTCGCAACTTTTGCTGAAACTCTCTCTTTTCCTCATTTGTTGCCCTTTTTCTCTTTAAAGCTGGCCTCGTGTGCCATTCGTTCCAACATGCCGTACAAATGGCCTGAAGACTCGTTTGGCACCATTGAATCTGCCTAGACCCTTTTCGTTTTGTCCTATACTTTCCGTCAAACGTTACGCTCACTGTATATCTGCAAAGCACATAGTATGTAGGAGTTCTGTTGACTTTTTTGTGCATAATATTCTTATTCAGTCTGCGGACTTGGAGTCCCGTAGCTGTACCTTTCTGCAGCGTTACGTGGAAACAAAGAGCGCAGTTGCTGTCGTGCTTCAGTATTACTCACGTCTCCATTCTCTGCAAGTGCCGATTTTTCTTGCCATTCAACCCATTCTTTAGCAAGGCGTCTTGCGAAAGATCCATACGTGTTGCATTTAGTAACTCTGTGTCGCAAAATAGAGTATCCCTTATACATCGGGCAATTTTCTTTCCCACTCTTAGGCAGGATCTTTTTCTGCCGAGCTAAAAAAGACGG